ATTCTTACCATTGACTTGTAAGCGCTGCTTCCAGCAATTCTTCCAGAGGCAGTTGCTGGACAAGCGCGTGAATGTAGAGCAAAGTTCATCACAGTTTTTTTATGATAGGAAGAACGTGAGCCAACTTAAACACTCAAAAATAGAGGGTGGACTTGTAAGTCATGTCATTAATGGGAAGTAGGTGTATATTTGACATGCAAATATATTTGTACTCACACACGGTTAAGTTAAAAAGCTTGTTAACAAAGCTACCTCTGTATATACGCAAAAGTCCCATTTTCTGTTCAAAGAAAGGGAGTCTCCTTATACTCATTAACAAATCTTTCAAAAGGTGGATATCTGTTGATAGTTGACATTAGATAGTGGGATTATAGACTTTTCCCCCCTGACTTATTTTCTCATTTTTCTACAACGAATGTGTATTACTTGTTAACTTTTTAAAGGTGAAAATAGTTTTGTTAAATAACTTGACTAGATAGACTCAAGTTGTGTGGCAAAGCATTTATTAAATAACTAAATAAATGTCATCTTCTCTATCAAAAGGCTTTCCTAGGTTCACTCTCAGTTGGAGATATGCTAGGAAACTTTTTAAATCCACGAGGCAATTGATTTTAATTACTTATGAACTAATTACTAAATATTTTATTATTAGTTTTCATTAATTAGTATACCAACTAGCATAGGTCACTGGGTTCTTCAACACCTCAAGTTCTTTATCCTTAAAATAAAGCTAATGTTCCATAAGTAAGTTTATTGTGAGGATTTAAGATACTGTGGTAAACAATGATCCTATGATTATGTATGTGAAAACACTGTGGAACGCGTGGGCTACATAAATATCAACTATTGTTATTATTCACTAATAAACAATGATAGTATTCACCGAGTGCTTGTAAGACTATTAGTACTTGCTTAGTAAGGTACATACCAAATAACATTAAGAGAAGGAGCCTGCACAAGACCGCCAAATGGGAAGTAATAATCAATACACTACAGTGGGTAAGTAAAGTCTAAGGGGGAATAGCGTCTTATCTGTTGTTGCTGTTCAAGGCCAGGGGAGTCCCTGAGGGTGATTAGAAAGACTGGATAATAAGGGAAGAGATCATCTCTTCCATGTGGAGGTGGTTCTTGAGCTGCCTGGAAGATGGGGAGGATGTGGCTGAACAGAGGGAAGGGATTAGCAACATGAAAGGAGACGGAGATGGGAAAGAGCTGGGTGGTCTCTTAGGCTGGTGAGGAGAATGGCTTGGCTGAAGTGGATGGTTCATGTTAGTGAATGTGTTGGTTAGATAAACCCAAGGCCGGATCATGGAGAACAGTAAAAGCTGGACAACGGGGTACAGAGCTGATAGAAGAAATAAGATTCCAATCCCAAGACTCTCTCACTCTCAGCAGATGATCCAGAACTCTCTGTTTCCACAGCTGAACTGACAACTCACTTGGATCTGCACTTACCCTTTCATCCTCCCTCAATGAAAGCATCTGGATGACCTGTTTACCTCTATGCTTTCTACTCTGTGTGTGAAAATGTCCCCTTTTGGGGCCATTTTAACCATTTTTTAAGTGTACAATTCAGTGGCATTAATTACATAATGATGTGCAACCATCACCACTATCTGTTTCAAAATTTTATCACCCCAAACAGAAACTCTGTACCCATTAAGCAATAACTCCCCATTCCCCCCTCCCCTCAGCCCCTGGTACCCTCTGATCTACTTTTTGTCTCTGTGTATTTGACTCCTCTAGACACCTCATGTGAGTGGAATCATACAATGTTTGTCCTTTTGTGTCTGGCTTATTTCACTTAGCTTGATGTTTTCAAGGTTCATTCATGTTGTAGCATGTGTCAGAACCTCATTACTTTTTATGGCTGAATAATATTCCATTGCATGGATATACCACCAAATTGTCCTTTTGAAATGAAATAGCAACAGTAGAGGGTAGTCTTTCCTTTTTTTTTAGTGGCCGTATTTGAAAAATTGGAAGTTGTCAACCTTATGTCTGTTCCTTGGAATTTCTTTGAATCTTTACGTATCAATCAATGCAAAGTCTGGGAATCACGTTCTAGTACATGTCACATCCTTTGTTCCAGTTCCTTTTGGCACCAGCACAAATGGTTTGTAATGTGGATTCAGTTAAGCACAAAGAATGCTTGCTTTCTTTTCTCCTCATTCATATCTCTGGATAATATGGATTTCCGTCAAGAGAAATACCTTGGGGCCGGCCCCGTGGCCGAGTGGTTAAGTTCGCACACTCCCCTTCATTGGCCCAGGGTTCCCTGGATGTGGACACGTCACCGGTCATCAGGCCGTGCTGAGTCCGCATCCCACATAGCACAGCCAGAAGGATCTACAGCTAGAATATTCAACTATGTACTGGGGGGGCTTTGGGGAGAAGAAAAAAAGATTGGCAACAGATGTTAGCTGAGGGCCAGTCTTTAAAAAAAAAGAGAGAGAAATACCTTTTCATCATGTCTTGGCACTAGAGCTTTCCAAGAAAGTGAAAGGATGCTGTCCTGTTGTGATACAGTGATAAGACAGAGATGGGAGCAATGGTGTACTTTATGACCAATGAAATACGGGAAGCAGTGAGAAGAGGGGATCAATTAGCTTAGTAAGTGGTGAGTAGTTAGACCTCAAAGCACACCCACTGCACAGTGCTTCTAGCCAGCAGACCTTGATGATGGTGTTTTTATTTATGAGGCCAGGGCTCTCATAAAGCAAAGTCAAAATAGAGAGTTTGCAGTATTCCAAGTATATGAAAACAGAGTATCAGGCAGGTGACATCTCAGATCTTTATTCACTTAGGTTTACTTGGAGAAACTGTTAACTTTTTATATTTTTAATGGTTTTCCTAATGTGGGTCCTACATCTCGCCTCTCCACTGCTGAGAGTCCTCGCAATACCTCTCTCTGGGGGTTGCGATGAATGAGAACTATAAATGCTATACATGTTTAACAGTAAGAATATACAGTGCAGTGTGTGTTTATAATCACTTACTGGAAAGGTTGCCCAACTTTACAAGAGAGTCACCACCCCGGCAGTCCTGGAGCCATTGGGAGAGTGGAGGAAGACCCTGCTGAACTGGGGCAATATAATATTACAGCTGTGACTTATGATTAGAGAGGCAGCAGAAATAGAGAAAGAAATCAATAGGGAAGAGTGTTTTCATAGGAAAATCTCGGGAGATGTATAGGAAGTTCCTTAGTGTTCATCTAGTCCAAGCCCAAGACACTAAGCTCTGAGAAGTTAAACATCTTGATCGGGGCTGGCCCCGTGGCGCAGCGATTAAGTTCGATTAAGTTCGCATGTTCTACTTCTTGGCAGCCTGGGGTTCCCCGGTTCCGATCCTGGGTGCGGACATGGCACCACTTGGCATGCCATGCTGTGGCAGGCTCCCCCATATAAAGTAGAGGAAGGTGGGCACGGATGTTAGCTTGGGGCCAGTCTTCCTTAAAAAAAAAAAAAATCTTGATCAAGGTAATGGTGTTGACTTCTCTTTATTTCTAGGCCAGAGTTTTTTCTTCTGTGCGAAAAGGAGAGGCTAGTGGGTGTGACCTGGTGAAAGCGTAATTAGATTGGTTTTGATCTGTTATGTGAAAAAACACTTAAAGGCCCTATTAAGAGGGCTAAGCTTACCTGGATTTCAGCTGTCAGGATAAGGAAGCTACATTTTATTATTTGTCAGCGTTGATGATATGTTTCCTCTGCTATAAAAAAAATGCCAGGAAACTTATTTTCTTTATTAATTTGGTTCCATTGGGGGCAATGGGAGGAGATGAGATTTAGATTTTTTAGTAAGTATTCATATATTTATCTTGATTGTAATGTGTTGGTGAGAGATGTAGTCAACACCCAACTCCTAAGGTGTCTGGAGTCTGTCCTCTTCAGCTCACATGGCAGGATGTTTATAACTCAACACAGGGCCTTAGTGTCCTTATGGCATCTCAATGGACTCTTCTCTATCATGGCGCCATTCCAGGCCCATTCAGACTCTAGAGGAACCCAATAAGAAATTATTTTCACTACAGGTTATCTAAAGATATCTAGGCTGTATGGATTGAGGAAATAGTCTGATAAAGAAAAATTAGTTTAATTTCTAATTGTTCCTTCATAAAGATCTCTGTTGCATCATGCATGTGGCCTGGGGAGAGGGCCTGGGAATGGGGAGGGGAAATGGAGAAAGAAGAGAATGCCCACATTACTGAGTGCAGACTGTATGCCTTTGCTGGCTTATTGGAGCTTTACAGTAACCCTAAGATAGGGTTGTGTTTATTTTATAAATGAGGACGTTAGGATCAGAGAATCAAGCGTTCGATTCTGAGACTCTGGGTTTCATGATACACAAAGTGGTCTCACCAAGGATGTTCACGGACAAACACTCACACCCACTTTTCACAGTTGTTGGGGAATCCTGTTGAAGTATGATTGTATAGCTGGGGTATTTCAACGTTCTTTTTCACTTTTAAGGATATGCCACAGAAAGGGTCTTTCTCTGCTGTCTCGAGTAGCGTCTTTCCAACGTTCTTTGCCCTGTGATTGGACTTTCTTTTCTTCCTTGCATTAGCACCACCTGACATATACTTATTCACTTCTTATCTGTTTCTTCCACTAGCATCTAAGCTTCATGAGATGTGATGTGAGCTCTGTGAGATTAGGAACTTTGTTCTGGTCAGCTCCTCAGAAGCGCTGGCACATAGTAGGCCTAAATCACTAAGTGTTTGATGGATTTGTTAATGCCAGAAGCTTCCTAAGAGTTGGCAGCTCAGATGTCAGCATGGGTCTTGAGTAAAGAACAAAACCAAAAGGGAGATTATTCACATAAAGAGAAATATAAGAGAATGAATGGGCTGTGGAGAATAGACAAGAGGAAAAAAAAAAAAAAGGAATAGAACCACTCGCCCCAGAGTTCTCTTCAATTTAGTGCACAAGAAAACCATCCCTATGTTTTACACGTGAAAGTGTTTGATGTGCCGTCTCCTTCACCCAATAGTTATACTAAAAAGGGATTAAAGGTGCAGCTGCTTTCCCATTTAAGCAGCTGTCAAAAAGAGCCCAACGTGACAGTTTTCCTGTACGCCCACTGTTCTGTTGTCTGTAATTGATTTATGACATTTTGGGAAAACACAGCGAAAAACAAATGAACACTGAGGTAAGTGTGCTTCTGACTTGCCGCTCTTCTGAGCATGGCTGAATTGGCCAACAGAACACAAATGGGGAAACCTGTACCATGGCAGGATTGTCTGGAAGCGTGCTGTTCACATGCGAGATACTAAAAGGCATTTCCGCTGCATAGAGTGAAATGTGAGGGCTCCCTAGGAGTCTGGTTTTGGATCTCATAAACATGCCCCACTTTGGAGGCGTGAGGGGTGAGGGCAAGAGTGAGCAGCAGAACAGACTGGGAGCTCTTCAGTGGAGTCCTCTGAGACACTGTGGCTCGGTGGTACCCATGGGCAGGCGGTGGTTGAGGTCCATCTCTCCAAGAGCGGCGCTCCACCTTGGTGTGGCAGTTAGAGCACCAGGAAGGTCAGGCCACACCAGGCCTCAGGGAGACTGTCCCAGGACGTTTACAGCCACGGCTCCCTCCCCATTCTCTTCAGGCTGTTGGGGTTCCTACCTCCCAGTTTGAAGTTCTCTAGGGGAATTGCAATAACATTCAGAAGTGGGAACCCAGAAGAATCCTCTCTCCCAGTCCCCACTAGGGGGTAAATCTGAGGTTTGGGTCAAATTCTCAATGTACAAAGATGAGTAAATAGAAATTCTCCTCACACAGTTTGGAGCCCAAAAAAAGTTTGCATAATTAAGGCAACAGAGCCTAACATTCAAGAACCATTCATACATTCACCAGATATTTATTGAGTGTCTCTCATGTGTCTGACATTCTTCTAGATGCTTGGAATAGAGCAGTGAGCAAAAGGGACAGAAATCCCCACCTTCATGGAGCATCTATTCTATCAGAGAACAATTTTCTGAAGGAAAGAAGGAAATTTTAAACAGCATCTGCTCTGCTCTGTTCTCTCAAAAACAAACGAAAAAAGATTCTGTAGCTTTTCCCCTTGAGGTCTATGCCCTCAGGAAACATTCCACATGTACACAAGGAGAGGGGCACGGTGACGTCCAGTGAAACTCGTCCATCATAGGGAGAACTGCAAACCACCTGCAAGTCCCTGGAGAAAAGGTGGTGTGTGTACCTTATAGCCCGCAAGCCTAGGGCTTGAGTGTGTAGCTCCGGGACCAGAAGCCGAGGTTTTAATTTAGCTGTACTGCTCACTGGTCTTTTTCCCCACCAGCTTTACTGAGATGTAATTGACATATTGTATAAGTTTGAGGTGTACAATGTATTGATTTCATACATTTATATATTGCAAAATGATAACCAGTGTAATGTTAGCTAACACCCCTATTGTGCCACATAATTACCATTTCTTTTTTGTGGTGAGAGTATTTAAGATCTACTCTCTCAGCAACTTTAAAGTTTATAATACAGTATTAACTATAATCACCATGCTGTACATTAGATCTCCAGACTTTATTAATCTTATAATTGGAAGTTTGTACACTTTGACCAATGACTCCCCATTTCCTCCCTGCCTCAGCCCCTGGTAACCACCACTCTACTCTCTGTTTCTATGAGTTCGACTTTTTTAGATTCCATGTATAAGTGACATCGTACAGTATTTGTCTTTCTCTGTCTGATTTATTTCATTTAGCATAATGCCCTCAAGCCTCATCCATGTTGTTGCAAATGGCAGGATTTCCTCTTTCTCATGGCTGAATAATAGTCCATTCTGTGTATGTATATGTTATATAAATATATAGAGAGAGAGCTATATCTATCTCTCTCTCTATATATATCACATTTTCTTTATCCATTCATCTGTTGATGGCTATTGTGGATAATGCTGCTATGAGCATGGGGGTGCAGATAACGCTTTGAGATCCTGTTTTCCTTTCCTTTGGATATATACCCAGAAGAGGAATTGCTGGATTATATGGTAGTTCTATTTTTAATTTTTTGAGGAACCTCCATAGTGTTTTCCATAGTGGCTGCACCAATTTACTTTCCCACCAGCAGTGCACCAGGCTTTTTTCCACATCCTCACTAATACTTATCACTTGTCTTTTTGATAATAGTGATTCTAACAGGTGTGAGCTGATACCTCATTGTGGTTTTAATTTGCATTTCCCTGATGATTAGTGATGTTGAGTGTGTTTTCATGTACTTGTTTGCTGTTTGTATGTCTTCTCTGGAAAAATATCTATTCAGATCCTCTGCCCATTTTTAAATTGGGTTGTTTGTTATTTTGCTATTGAGTTGTATGAGTTCTTCATATATTTTGGCTATTAACCCCTTATCAGATATAGGATTTGCAGATATTTTCCCCCTTTCAGTAGGTGCTTTTTCATTTTGCTGATTTTTCCTTTGCTGTGCAGGAGCTTTTTGCTTTGATGTAGTCCCACTTATTAATTTTGCTTTTGTTTCTTGTGCTTTTGGTGTCATATCTCAAAATATTGCTGCCAAGACCAGTGTCAAGGAGCTTTTTCCCTGTTTTCTCCTAAGGGTTTTATGGTTTCAGGTCTTATGTTTAAGTTTTTGATCCATTTTTTTTTTTGAGGAAGATTAGCCCTGAGTTAACATATGCTGCCAATCCTCCTCTTTTTGCTGAGGAAGACTGGCCTGAGCTAGCATCCATGCCCATCTTCCTCCACTTTATATGTGGGACGCCTACCACAGCATGGCTTCCCAAGTGGTGCCATGTCCGCACCCGGGATCCGAACCGGTGAACCCCAGGCCGCCCAAGTGGAACATGCGAACTTAACAGCTGCACCACCGGGCGGCCCCTTGAGTTCATTTTTGTTAGTGGTGTAAGAATGAGGTCCAGGGGGCTGGCCGCGTGGCCGAGTGGTTAAGTTCGTGCACTCCGCTGCAGGCGGCCCAGTGTTGCGTTGGTTCGAATCCTGGGCGCTGACGTGGTACTGCTCATCAAACCACGCTGAGGCAGCATCCCACATGCCACAACTAGAAGGACCCACAACGAAGAATATAAAACTATGTACTGGGGGGCCTTTGGGGAGAAAAAGGAAAATAATAAAAAATCTTAAAAAAGAAAGATAGGGGTCCACTTTCATTCTTCTGCATGGGGTTATCCAGTTTTCTCAACACCATTTGTTGAAGAGACTGTCCTTTCCCCATTGAGTATTCTTGGCTCCCTTGTCAAATATTAGTTGACTGTATATATGTGTGTTTATTTCTAGGCTCTTGATTCTGTTCCGGTGGTCTATCTGCCAGTTTTTATGTTAGTGCCATACTGTTTTGATTTCTATAGTTTTGTACTATAGTTTGAAATTTGGAAGTGTGATGCCTCCAGCTTTTGTCTTCTTTGTCAGGATTGCTTTGGCTTTTTTCAGGTTCTTTTGTGGTTCCATATAAGTTTTAGGATTGTTTTTTCTATTTCTGTGAAAAATGCCATTGGAATTTTGATGGAGATTGCATTGAATCTCTAGATAGCTTTGGTTAATATGGACATTTTAACAATATTCATTCTTCCAATCCACGAACATGGAATATCTTTCCAGTTCTGTGTCTTCTTCAGTTTCTTTCATCAAAGTCTTGTAGTTTTCAGTGTACAGATTTTCGCTTCCTTAGTTAAATTTATTCCCAAGTATTTTATTGTTTTTGATGCAAGTGTGAATGGGATTGTTTTCTTAATTCTTTTTCAGATGTTTTGTTGTTAGTGTTTAGAAACACAACTGATTTCTCTTTGTTGATTTTTGTATCCACTCACTGGTCTTAATTTCCTCATCTGTAACATGGGACTTACTATCAGTACTTATCTCACAGGTGTATTTGAGCATTATAGGAGAACAGTCAAGCCATTAAAATAGTGCTTGGAGCACAATAAGCACTTTGTAAATGTTAGCTATGTTTATTATTATGCTGATAATGGAGTACTACATAGCAGTTAAAAGGAGTGGACTAAATCTATATATCAACATGAATAGATCTAAAAAATATAATTTTCCTTCACTTATTCATTCAACAGTATTTATTGAGCGCCTACTGTGTTTTAGGCAGTGTTCTAGGTACTTGGGAGTCATCAGTGAACAAAACAGAGATCCTGCTCTCATGGACCAAATATGCCAGAGGTGGGGAAATGGATGTAAACTAGAGGGAGATTGTATGTCGTGTTAGAAGGTGAAAAGTGCTGTGGAAAAGGGAGAAGAGAAGTAGAGTAAAAGTATTTGGGAATGCCAGAGTTAAGGGAGAGGGTTGGTTGAATTTTAAGCCAACTAAACAAATATGAGAAAATGTTAACAATTATCAGCTCCAGGTGGTGGGTATACAGGTCTTTGATATATATATGATATCTATATATATGCATAGAAATTTTTTTGCCTTTGTATATGTTTACAGGTTTTTCCTAAAAAATTCCTATAACAACATGAAAGAAAAATGATAATAAGGAGTCTGAAATATGAAAGGAGTTGGCAAAGAAGCAGAAACAAATTTTAAAGGAGCTAAATGAGATATATATTTTTTAAAGAGACTCTAAAGTAAATGTTGGAATTTTAAAGTCCGCTAGAGATAGAGATGAGCAGAATCACAGTGCAGGAACTCAAACAGTAACATAGAAGACAATGTGAGAATAAATATAACTGAATAGAATCAGAAAAAATATAACCAAAGCAACAATTACAGATACAGTAGAACATATTTCTGAGTTGAAGACCTAAACAAAAGTGTTAAATAAATTCAATACCAAGACATATCCTGGTAAGACTGCTGCAGAAGCTGTTCATTAACTACTCCTACTTCCTTAGTTCCTTTTTGTTAGGTGTGGCAATGTGCCAACTGTAAAACTATGTTTTCAAGTCTCCCTTGCCTCTTCCTGCTATGTCAAATATAAACTCGAATGTGGAGCTGCAGTGGCACCCTGTGCCCACCGGGAGGCGCAGAATGGAAGAATGAATGGATGGAAGCCGCGTGCTAAGAGATGGCAGACACATGTTTCATGTATACTTGTGGGAAAAAACAAAGATGGCAGACGCTTGGTTCATGTTGACCTGGGTCCATGTATACAGCCTTGGATTCCACCTCTGGATTTTTCACATATATATATCTATATATCTA